CATAAAGTCCCCCTTTCCATTAAATAAATAAAGAATTGCATTAGTTTGATTAATTGTTGACAGTTGTCTTTCTTTATTTTTTTTATTTCACTCAATCAAATCCTCAAAAATACTTTTTAATCCCACCAATTCGATGACTTTACAATTTTTTTTAATTTTACAAAAATTTTTTTCATTTTATTTTAATTCGAGATGCTTCTCCTGACATTTTTCTGTTCAATTTAATTTTCCTCCTTGTTTTCCTTATCTTTTTATTAAAATTTCCTTTCAATTTAAAAATTTAAATTTTTAAACTTTTTTATTTTAAAATACTTTTTTTTATTTTTGCAAAATTTTCCATTTCTTTTCTCTCGCCCAGCGGGATGCTATTTTGCTTATAAGCGTTTGAAACAAATTAAACTTCTTTTCCAGACACATTAAAAATAATTTTAATTATGCTTAAAATTAGAGTAAGTCGAGTACCGAGTAATTGGGAAAAAACCGAGCTCGAGTAATCCGAGTTTGAAAAACACGAGTTCGAGCTCGAGCTCAACTTTTTAGGTCGAGTTCGAGTAGTCGAGTAATCGAGTAATTTTTATAAAACAGTATTTTAAAATAATTTTACCAAAAACAATATTTTTACTCATTATCAGTGCCGTGTTTTGGGCATTTGTTGACAGTAATGCGTTAGATCATCATCCAGATCCCAGTTATTTTCGTTAATCCGTCTATATCCCTCTTAATCCGCCGAAATTCCATGATATGCAGACAATCAATTTTGACTCAAGGCTCCGTTTTGAAAATCAATGGATAATATTATTTCGGGGAATCGTGTAGATTAGTGGGATATCGAGTGATAAGAGGAATGAGATGGATATCAAGGGATTAAGCGAGATTTGGGCAGATTATAGTGATATTTGGGTGTATTAGGAGCAAAATCTGAGAAATTCAAAAGACTAATTGGGATATCGTTGGATTAGTTATATTGTCGAAAGGTGATCATAAGATTCTTTGCTCTATTCCTCTCTTTTCGCGCCGCTGGCTTAAATTTTAAGAATTTCTGAAGGTCCACCTAACTCCATTCAAATAAACTCCATTCAAAACTGCCTAACTCCATTCAAATCCTTCGATATAGGTATACATAAGTCTTCCTTTTTAGCGCTGCTGGCGCAAATTTTTAGAATTTTAAAGGCCAAAGAGCAAAATTCTTATTTTTTCAGCGCCGCAGGCGAAAATTTTAAAAAATTTGGAAGGCCAAGGAGCGTAATTTCTTCTTTTTTCAGCGCCGCAGGCGAAAATTTTTAGAAATTTGGAAGATCCTTAAGCTAAAAATCTTCCTTTTTTGGTCGCAGGTAAGCGCATAAAAATACTCGGTTTTAACCGAGTCTGTCGAGTAGGAAGTTTCCGAGCTCGAGTAATCCGAGTATTATTATCCCGAGTTCCGAGTCGAGTAATTACGCAAAAAACCCGAGCGGTCGAGTCGAGTAACTCGAACTCGCTCGAACTCGACTTACTCTACTTAAAATACGAAAAATTCAGTGAAACAAACGTAAGAAAGGGGGCGAAAAAATATTAGGAAAAAATATTTCGGCATAAATTAAACATAATTAATATTTAACTATTCGGGGTGCCAAATTAAATTCAAAAATATAATTGTAATTATTGTTGTAAAATGACCTAAATACCTAATTTGTTTTTAAATCCTGTTATCCACTATTTTCATGTTATTTTAAAATCTTCAAATAATATTCTACACTTTAAAACTTTTTTTTGGAAATTCTTTACATTTTTTCCATTGTCATTTTAAATTTGCCGTCAAAAACACAAAAAAATTAATTTTTTAAAGCTTTTTCTATTTATTCTTGCCTTTCTACTTTAAGTTATTGATAAGTTTTTCCTTTGGGAAATTTAAATAAAATGTTTGAAAATATTTTTTAGGTTAATTTTTCTTTGTATTTTTACAATTTGGGGAAATTTACAAAATTTTTATTTCAAAATATTTTTCCATTTTAAATAAATTTGTATATTGCCTAAGATATCTTGGGCATCCAAATATTTAACCTGTAATTAAATCTCCTAGTATACCTATCAGATTATTTTTGGTTCAAATTTTGAATTTAAACTTTTTACCGTAAAAATATATTGTTAATTTAATTGGTGGAACAATTTTGCTCACATTTTGAAGGCCAATAAATTATAATACCAAAATTACAAACATTTTTAATTTCTAACAATTTTTCCTACATTCCTTCAATTTTAATAAATAGGGGGACTTGCTTCTAAACTTTATGTGTAGATTTATTTTAGAGCCTGCAACGGCTTCCATCACAAAATTTGAACGCCGTTTAGGTTTATCCCGAACCAAAACTACAACTAACCCTTAACCAAAGATTTTAAAAAATAACAACTGGTTTGAGCTTCTCTTGGCAGAACGATTTCAGAAAATGTTTGTAACCTAAAAAGTCTCTGGTTATTAGAAAAAGTTCTCATCTAACCCATAAAAATAAACCTTAAAAACGTTTTTTTAACTGAAAAAAAATTTATTTTTATAATTTTTTTTGCATGACTGAACGCAAATTGAAGGGTATTATTTGTTTTTTAGTAAAGAAATAAAATAAAAAGAATGCCGTCGTTGAAAAGCTAAATACTCGTCTACTACTAACTACTCTTCTCTTTTCACTCATTTTTGGCCTCAATCCTTATGCCAATTCCATTCTCTTTTAAATTATTTTAAAAAAAGGAAAAGTAAAAATGCTTTTATTTAAAAATTTTTTAAATGTTTTTATTAAAACTTTTTTTTTAAATATTTTTAAAAAATTTTTAAAATCATTGCCTTGATGAAAAAACTAAATAAATTATTGAAGTTGTATATTTTCCATATTCCCCCAAAATTCGGATTGCGCCAAAATTTGCTCTTATAGAAAATTTTATTCGTGAATTTTGTTATTAGGCACTTTAGGATTTGTAAAATTAAACACTTAAAAGAAACGCCAAAAATTCCAAAAATACTTCCCAAAAACAGAAGGGATTAACAACACTATATAACCCAAAATATCCATCGTTATGGATATCTCTAATTTTTCTGATTAATTAAGAAAGAAAATGTGACAAAAAAATTAAAAATTAGGCAATTCCTAAAAAATTAGAAACATTTTACAAAGAACCCAAGTAAAAAAGAAATTTTTGTTAACAAATCCAAAAAGAGAAGAAAATAACTTCTAAAAAAGAGATACTTCCGGGGAATGCTAAAAATATTTTTTCTAATTCAAAAATTATTTGGAAATTGAAAGGCTTTTTCTTTCCAACTTGCAAAATTTTCTCTCAGACTACTCTTGGTTGAAATGAAACGGAAAAGATGCGACACAAATCGAAAATTTTTTTCGGTATTTCTCCATTCTTTTATGCTAAATATTTAACAAAGAAAATTTTTAATAATTAGTATCATGATTTTCAGAAAGGCTATTATTTATTCGAATTTAAAAATTTTTTTGAATAATGAAAATCAACAGTTTATTGTGAAAACTGTCGCCATTTTAAACTGCCAAACTAGTCAGAATAAAATAATTTTTTCAAAATAAAACCAAAAATATTTTTCGCAAATTAACTGGACCCTTTTGGGTAATTGTTCGGATCAATTTGATTTTTATCATTGTTTTTATATACTAAGGAACGGAGGATCTTAGTCATCTAGCTTCTTAGTCATCCAAGAATTCCAAACAAATTTTTTTCTAAAAATTCAAATCCGGCAGATGTCCTTTAACCCTCTATTACCAATTTTTTCTCATTTGGCCATTCTAGTCTTTTCATTTTTTAATAATATACTACACTTTCCTTTCATTATAAAACAGTGTTCTACTACATATTATAAAATAGAATGTAACTGTCCACTTCAATTTACCACTCAAACAAAATTATTGGTTTTGGCATAAACAAATTGCTTTTTCTTTTTATTTACAAAATTTTTAAAGCTTTTTTCTTGTATTTCTTTTTACATACTAAAATTTTACTTAGAATTTGGGCTTGTTTATAGGGTAATATTCAGAGATACATATTGTTAGAAACAAAAAAATTTTCGAAATCGGAATAAAGAAAATAATCTCAAAAAGTGAAAGTTCGGAACAGCTCTTACTGTATAACGAAAGTCTTGTGATAATTATATTGCGCTTTTTGGGGTTGTTAGAAAATGAAGAAATAATAAAGGCCTCGTCGTGTTCCGGGTTTTATTTTAAAAAACTCGAAAATTTGAAAAAAATTTAAAAGATATATTCAAATAAATTTTAATCTCACTGCTTTTATTAATCTTGTAAATTATATTAATACATATTCACATTTTTAATTTCTTAAATTTTTTTAGAGAGAAAATCTCTTTAAATTTAAATAAAAATATTTTTAATTCTGTTGCCCACTAAATGGGCGGCAGCAGCAGCCATATGCAACCCCCAGCAATGTTAGAACATCATCAATTACCACCATCTTTAATACACGATACTACACCTTTCCAAACCCAACAGCAATATCAATTCCCAGATATGAATCAAATATTTAAAGGAATTCCAAAAATGTTACAAGTTGCTGATGATATGCACAGAATGAGTAATTATGTAAGCTTTAATAATTTATTTCCGGAAATCTTTAGATTACTAAGAAAATTTTATATAATTAAATTTTAAATATTTGAAGATCAAGATAAAAAAATTCGGATTGATTTTTTTTAGTTTATTTTACAGTTCTGGTTAAAAAATCGTAAAAATTCCGGCCGGATCTGTTTATTATTACCTTCTCGTTATAGCAGAAGCGGAAAATCCCTAACATAATCTGTTTTTGTTCAATACCTTTGATTTACTCATATTTTGGTTCATTATCGCCTAATTCGTCTCGCACTTTGGCATTCCCCAAGATATAATATAATATTGAAATATACTTTAATATTTTTTGAACCTAGTATTCTTAATTTAACATAATATTTACACTTAGCTAATATGTATATGTCTATATTTTAGATACAAGATCTGAGAAATATGATGTTTGTCTGTTCGGTATGTTAAACTTAAAGTTTAATTTTGAAAAAAATATTTTTTAAAGTTATTTACAATTATTGGCCTTTTTCTATTTATTTTGCTCAAATTCCTTCAGAATCGTAAAGGCACAAGACGGAGGAGGAGAAATACTAATACACAAAATAATGTAAAATAATAATTTATTAACCAAAATTGATAAATACAATCGGACCTCACTTCTAGATAAACCTTTTAGGTTGCAAATCATATCCTATAATGATCATATACTTAATTGAAAAAATTTTTAACTTGAAAATTTAGGTTGTCCTATTAAACTATAAGGTTGTGGATTTTTTAAATTTTCTAAAAATATATTTTTAATTTTCAAAAATCAGCGTTTGGATGATCAATCAGAACAGTCCTCTTTAAGTGTATCCAGACCTTCGAATAACTATAGACATTACCATTCCGCAAAGCCTATAGACAATTGGACACATAAAATTGAGATGGACAGAATGTTAGGTAGAAATATTTTTTAAAATATTTCCAAAAAAATCATTAAAGATTCTACATCTACAAGACACACTAATTTAACTCCTCAACATGGGGCACATGGAACTATCGGTTCACATGGAGGTTCTCATGGAGCTATAATGGTAGATCTTTATTATCATTTTATCCTTGTAATTACATATTTTGGAATTATGGGTTATATGAAATTTCTACTTTTTAACTTAACCTAATTCGGGTTCGGGGGATCTTAGACAGTTTTTAATTTTTTAAATCCCAGAATTTGTGGACTAAAGACTCGAATACATATAGATACCTTAATCCCATAAAAATAAAAAATACATTCTAACAGAAATGACTAAAACCTATTTTTCTATTCCAGTTAAACAATAAAGCAGCAATAGCCTCCTCATCTAGTCCAGAACACCAACACCATTATAATTCATTACATTTACATGAACAACACCAAACTTCGTCCGGTGTAGCTACACCATCACACACTCCGACACAGATAACTGGACAATCAAACGGACAACTTAAGGTTTCTAATGATTGAAAAATTTCTTTAACAAAGTGTTGCTGTGCCATTTTAACAAAAAAATAGGCAATAATTAATTTTCTGAATTTTTATTATTTTCTTGATTGTACTAAATGTACTAATTTTTTGTTTGTATTTTTGAAAATTAAATATAAATTTTTTTAACCTTTGATTTACCAAACTACTACATATAACAAGCTAAAATTAGAATGAATAAGCTAAAATATGTTCTTATATCAAGTTGTCATGTGTCCAAACCTAAAAAACTGTCAAATCCAACTCTAACTTATGGGTTTTTCTAATTTGTAAGTTAATTGAATTGAACGGCTAAATTGAATTTGAACTGAAATTGAATTTTGCCTTCGAGTAAAGCAGCTGGGCTATAGCTATTTCTTCTTTTAGCTAGTGCAAAAGGTTAATCGGCGGCTGGGAGCGAACCAGCATCTTCAGTAGACCGGACTGATGTGTTAGCCATTACACCACGCCGTCTACTGCATAGCCTTAGGAAATGAATAGCTATATGCTTTACATTCGATATCTAAATACCTATACTACTATTCGTTTTATTTAATAATAACAGTCGGATCTCAGTTGTGCAGCACCTCTGTAGAAAAAATCCAACGTTAAGCTGAAAGTGATGTACAAATAGATACAATTATGATCCGACTTTATTTATTCATTTAACAAATTAATTGTTTGTCGTGTTCTTAATATTATTAAGTAAATAATTAAAAATTAAATTAAGAGGCTCGATCCAGTAAAACTTATAGTTGATGAAATGCCCTATGCTGATAATGAAAACGAGCAATAATTAAAAAGATTTTAATTTGTTTCACAGAATAAATTTATAATTTTTCTCCAATTTTTATATTTTTCTGTTTTTTTATTTCTTTATAAATTTTATTTGTTCTATTTGAAAGCTTAAGGAGCTGATTAAGCTTCTTCATCCCGGAAATGCGATTTTGCCGACCTCTAGTATATGTAAATATGTTTACTAAATTCATACATGAATAAATATAAATAATATATGTTGTATGTATAAACTAGTGTTGGTCACGGTACCGTATTACGGCGGTATTTTTCAGTAATACCGCGGTATTTTTACCGAAATACCGATACCGAATACGGTACCGAACAATTTTTAAAAAATCGGTATTTTTTCGGTATCGGTATTTTACCGAAAATACCGATACCGAAAAATCGCGTTTGACCAACACTAGTATACATAAGTTGATTTTATCATTTGGGTGTAATTTGTTTTGAGAAAACAGAATTAATTAGTTTAACTAAATTTTTAAATTAACTTCCTTTAAAAATTAATTAGTAAGTAAATAATATTAAATTAAATTCGTTTATTTGAACTAGTGTAGTTTATTTACTTACTAATATAAACTTTCTTTAAATAAAGATTGATAAAGTTCTAAATTTAACAGAAAATTTAAACTAAAGGCTAGTTCCTTTGTTTTTTAAATTAATTAGTAAGACAAATTTAAATTGATCTAATTTAAGTAAATAAATATTAAAAAATAACTAATAAAAAATAAATTCCTCTTAAAATTTGTAATATATACATATAAGGACAGAAAATAAAAGATTTAAAAACAATTAATTCTTCAAAATTAAATTAAAAATTCTTTAAAAACAAAAAAAAGATGAAATTCCTTTCCCAATTTATTCTTTTTTCTCGCCTTTATTTTAATTTTATCTACATTCATTGCAGCCGAAATGAATGCTGAAATTGAAAATGGAGATAATGGGGGAAGATGTTAGTTGTAATTTTTTAATAAATTATTTTTTATTAAACAATGGGGGACTTAATTTAGTAAATCTTTCTACGATTTTCTGTGCCAATATCTAAGATACCGTTTGACAGCCGTGTTCATTAAATTTATTAAAACATTAAAGAATTTTAATTGTAGATTAATTAAATCTCAATTAAAATGAACGAAATCCCTTCTTTGTCGCTTTTCGATTGCAATATCGTATCAAAAAATTGAGAAGTCTTAGAAAAACGAATCAAAATTAGAACAGCTATAATATTTATCAATTTTTAAATTTATTTATTTTTAGTTCGTCGCTGGGGACATTGGGGTCATCATGGAAGACATCATTGGGGATGGGGAAGACGTTAAGAATCAGCATTTGAATGGATTTTGATTAATTTTGATATAAAATGAGCTTAAAAATAAAAAGATTTATAATATGCTTTTATTGTCAAAAAATATTTTTATTATAATTTGATAAAAATTATTGGCTGATTAATGCTAAAAAATTTAAATAAATTTTAAACTATTTAAAATTTGATTAAAAATATATTTGCGAGTTAATTATTTTTTGTAAATTCCTATTTATCCGCGCGTAAAATAAATTGAATAAAAATTATGTTTTAATCTATTAAGATTCAATTTTTATTTTCATTAATTTCATTTTAATTAATTTACTACATATTTATATTTGTAAATATTATGTATATGTGCATATTGTTTTTAAAGTTTAAAAATTTATTTTTATTTTATTAGAAAGGGTGTCAATTAAAATTCAAATGCCATGGCTCTTTTGACATTTTATAAATATTTTCTTTATCTAAATATTAATTTATCTCCTAATTAATTATTTATATATTTTATTATAGAGAATTAATAGATTAAACGTTGAGAATTTATTTAGCAATTTTGTTTAAATTATTAAAAATTAATATTATTTAGATATTTACTATTTTTAATTTATTAGCATCTGTTAATTTAATTAATAAAAAGAATTTTTAATCGCAAAACTAAATCTTTTTTTACATTTTTTTACATTTCTAAAATACAAAATCTACAAAAAAAAATTTTTATTCAAATTTTAATTAAAAATTTTTTTGTGTTTTCATATTTCCTTGTAATGGAATTTTAAATTTTTAAGTAAAATTTTAAAAGAAATATTACAAAAATAATTTTTTTTAATTTATTTTAAAAATTTAAAATAAAAAAATTAAAATGGCAACACAAAATATTTCTCAATTAAATAATAATTTTGTTCGAATATTTTGTAATTCAATTGGATATATTGAACTTTTAATCCATTTAATTTTATTACTAATTTCTTTTATTTTTGTATTTCTTATTGTACGTACATCTTTATTACATTGGAATTTAAAATTTATTTTATTGTGGCAATGCTTTTGTAATTTAATTTATGGAATTAGTAGAACTATACAGGTATTTAATAAAGTATATTGACTAAAAAGAATATCTAATCTGGAATCTGTGAATTCTGTGTATAGAATTTGCTCCACAAGATTTATGGGCAGATATGGCATGCCTATATTTGCATACCATTTATGTCGATTTATTTTACTCTTGCCGGGTGTATAACAAATTTTTTCGAAAGTATTGTAAAATATTCTAAATCGTCTAACCGTAATTTGTATTTTTGGAGTATTTCTAAAAAGTTGTTTCGAAATTTCGATTTTCATTTAAATTTTCGATTTTTGCGGGTTTTTTTTCTTTCGATTTATTATTTTCGAATTTTGAAAAAATTTGTATTTTGGCGCCAAAAAGGAATACCAAAAAGAAGGAATTTACTAACATATCAGGAATTTTACTCAAATCCTCCATTATCCACACAAATCTCATACTGAGAGTTCCACATACCAAAAATTAATTTTGAAATATTTTATAGTAAATTTTTTTCGATTTTCGTTTTTCGATCTTCAAGGTTATTTTTCTTTCGATTTCGAAGATTTTGAAAAATATTTTCGATTTTTGATTTCGATATTTTTGGATTTCTTTTGATTTTCAATTTCCGATTTTCGAAGATTTTTTGTTTCGAAACATCTCTGTTCCTGATTGTCAGACTTTACTCCTGCTTTTATCAAAGCCTGATCCGTATAAAGTTTTCAATAAAAACATTTTCTCCAAATTTTTAGTTTTTTTTTCAATTACAATATTTTTGTAGCATACAATTAGATTAATACGTAATTATCAATAATTTATTTAAAAATAAATTTTAAAGATTTTGGGCAAATTAATTAATGATATCGACTTTTATAATCAATTCAAATTTTTACAATTTTTTGTATTGGCAAGTATGATATTAGGCACATTTATTGGACATGTTCTCCTTCTCGAAAGAATATTAGCTACTGTTTTTGTGTCAAAATATGAAAATAATAAAAAGCCTTATTTTAGTATTGTCTGTTTTATTATTGTGGTTTGTTTTTCTTTGAATTTAAACAAAAAAAATTAATTACTTCATACATTTTAAAGAAATATAGCAAAAACAATTTTTCTAAGAATTTCTAAAATTTTCAGATGTTTCTTTCATTTCAAAATGCCTATCGCCAAACATATTATGGCGATTCTGTATTTGATGTTGCCTTGGGAACGCTAATTACTATTTATGGAACTTTATTTTTTGGTGTACTTGAAATTGCTGTAAATGATTAAAATTATATTTATTTTTGGAATTATTTTGAATTTAAATTTCAGATAATTGGATATATTGGATATTACAACAATACAAAATATAAATTAAAAACATTCCTTTATTTCAAACATAGTCTTTCAGAAAGATATCAGGCAATATTTTAATTTGTTTTAATTCTTTATCAGAACCTCAACTCGTTGCTTTCCTATTTCTAAAACTGTATCAGATTATTCCAAAATTATGGCAATTCCGGTTCCTTCCGGTTTTTTAAACAGGACCATGAAAGCACCACTCTAATTTTTGCTCTACCTTTCAAGCATATTTTCAAACAAAAATTTATGCGGATAATATTCTAGCATTTAAATAAATATTTATTAATTTTAGTTATCTGAGAATATTCGCACTAGTCGTCAATTAAAACCAACTTTTATATTACATTTTATTAACATAATAATTTCCAGTGGAGTAACTATTGTATTTAGCTTCATACATTTAAAGGTATGCTTAAAGTACAGAAATATAATATAAAAATTATCCCAAAACGCTCAGAATATTTAAAAAAAATTTTCCTCTATCATATAAATTTTTACAAAAAAATATTTATTTTA